TATCTTTCCATTCTAACCCTTGGGTGATAGATAGTGTACCTCCCGATCCTGTGGTGTAAATGGATAAAGAAAGGAGAAGAGAAGAAGAATAAAGTAAACAGACAACAGTTTTTATTTAAACAAATAAACTTAATAAGAAACAACAGTGAGATGTGGTTTGACTGTTTGAATTTAAAACCCAGGCCCTATCCAAGTAAGTACCTTGGCAATAAGTAAATATACCCAAAACAAAAATATCCCAGATACTACACCATTTTTAGGTGTTGATAGGCAGTAAATGGTATGACACTGTTGTCACAGGCAACTGATGGACCCTGGGTCTCAACCGCTTCTTAAATGGAGATCAACAGGATCTGCGGATGCTAAAGAGAGGCCTGGCTCTCTGACCACCGAGGGTGAGCAATCAACACAACCTCTATCCCTTTCTCTGAAAATGATGTAGGGTTCAGAGATAGGTAAGCACAGTTACAGTTCTTAATGCTGACGTCTTCCTTTCCTTTATTTTCTGATTGTAGAGTGGTTCGGCCGGAGCTCATCCCTCTCTGGGGCTACGTCCGTCTGGTTCTGTCGGGGAACTAGTCTGGCTGCGGGGTCTCGCGCCATGGCAGCAGTAGATGCAAAACAAGGGCTACGCACACCCGGTTGGCAGGTAGTAGCGAGCCCCACACTCCAGTCCTTGGACAGGGATGGAGCAAACCATTAAGCAATAAGCCGAGGCCCTGGGCTAGGGCGGGCGGCAAAGAGTCTGTGGCTCAGGCCGTCAGGAAGGGGCTGAGGAAACAAATGAGTTCAGGAGGCCCAGGGGCGGGGTCAGTACAGAGTCACTGGTTAAGGTCCTTAGGCAGGGGCTGTGTAGACAAGTAAGCAACAACAAGGCCAGGCCCTGGGTCAGGGCAGGGCAGTACAGAGTCTATGGCTCAGGCCCTCAGGCAGGGGCTGAGCAAACAGTTAAGTTCAACAAGCCCAGGTCCTGGCTCCGAAGGGCCTGGGAGATGGGGAGACTGCCACCCACACGTTGGGTGGCAGGGGGGATGCAGGCCCACCCACTCCACTGCATCCCAGCCTGGGGCCCTAGCAGTGGCAGAAGGCCTGCTGCTGTGTCAGTGGGGATCCTGGCCGCAACACACTGACATTGGCTCTGGGTGTGCTGCAGACAGACTGGGGTCGGCTGCCCCTGGGCTACTTCCTACCTCCCCCTCTAGCGGTACCTGCGTCGGGACGGTGTCCTCCAAGGAATCAAGCACCGTGGGCTCCTCAGGGTACCCGGCGAGCGGTAGGCTTGGCAGCTCCTCTGAGTAACTTGCCACGGGCAGGCTTAACAGCTTCTCCGGGGTCTGGTCGGCATCAGGCCTCGGCTGGTCTGGCCAGTCCTCAGGTCGGTCGCTAGTTGCAGGAGTTTCCCAACCGGGAGCTAGGCCACAGGGATCTGGCTTCTCTGGCGGCTGGGGCTCTAGTGAGCTCTGGGGTGGGGCTTTTGTACTTCCTGTCCTGCGCCCTGACCTCTGGGGGGCGGGTGCAGGTTCCACTGGCACCGCCCACTTTGGTGTCCGAAGGGGCTCGTCCCTCTCTGGGGGGGTGGGGAACCACACCGCCTCGCTACACTGATCTTCTGGTCCATGTCGCCGCACAAATACAACAGTACCGTGGCTGCCTCTAGGACGGACAGCAGCTAGGCAGCCAGTGCTCAGAGTTTATATAGGCACAAGTGCACCAAAGTTCTGAGGTAAAACCAGCAGCTCCTCTGCTGGAACCTATCTGAACCAGTTCTATGCTGACCTTGACGTTGGCTGCCTTTCCTGCCAAAGTTCCAAAACGGCACGAAAACTTCAACAAGAAGCTAATCAAAGATGGAGTCGAGCTGTTGTTTTGCAGGCACTCCATTTTGAATTTCAGACTTCATATCTAATACATGGTAAAATACCTTAACCAAATGTAAAGGCATAAAGTATAACTTATTCTTAAGCACAAAGCAACTTGTAATCTCTATTTCATGTACAAAAACATGTTACAGTAAATACAGCTCTTGGTGTAGTGCCCAGCCCCTGAGAGAGCTTCTTTGGATATCTTTCTTGCCATTTTTCAGTGCACAATTTTTCCATCTGCCCACAAGGTTCATTGTTAAATGGAATTCTGCAGCTTCTCTGTGATTTACCTCGTGTCTGGGTTGGTTTTTTTTTGTTTTTTGTTTTTTAAATTCAGCTAATGGCTGTGACCCTCCATAAAGAATTTAAAAAAAATAATCTGCTTACTGAGCACACTTTGCTATCTTTAATATCTGTTCTTACATTAAATATTTCTGTTCGTCTCTGTGCTAGGGGCAAACAGTAACCCTGAAGAGGTTTTAAAAAACAAAAGAAATGGCTTTGAAAGCAGCATAACAGTAGTAGCATATTGCTTTGCTTTTTTTGAACATTCCTAGGCACAAAATACAATAATGATCCAACTGTCATCACTTGAACCTTGAGGATATAATAGAAGCTGTCAATGTAGTAGGCTTGTTTTATAAACTAGCTGCATGTCATTCTTGATGGTGAATGGCTGCTCTACTCTGAACCAGCATTACATAAAACATTTTATAATACACTTTTCCTTAAGAACAAGAATGTATCCTGTTAATTGGGATAATTAGTAAATAAATGAAATATTTATACAAATTCTTTATGCCTTTGCCCATTCTGTTTGTCTAGCAGTAAGAGTTGTAGCTGTTAAAGGGAACTGCAATGTAATAGGAAACAGATTGTAATTAGATGTAGTCATTACAATGGGGTTGGTGCAGGTACCGGGATCTGACCCATTTTTATTTTATTTATTGACACAGGAAGTGTTGGTCAATGAAATTTATTGTACATTCTTTGCAAGGTCATGAATTTATCTTTTTTATATAATTAGGCCAGATTGTCAGCTGGTGTAAAGTGAAATAGGTCCCTTGAAGTTAATCGAGTCATGTTGATTTCCACCAAGTGTGGATCTGGCCCACGACAAGAGCTTTCCTGTTCTTCAAAGTTACCTTATCTTTTCTGTGGGTTAAATTTTGGGTTGTTTACTGTTGAAGTTAGTGAGAATAGAAAAAAGGTTATGCTTTGTCAAACACACACAGCATAGTTCCTATAAATGTAGTATTATTGGATATGTTTGAAGGCAATCTGTTTTATTGACCATGGCAAAGATTTGATACATTTCTCCTGAACATTCTATCTGTTCTAACAGGATCCAACATTTTTCTGGTTTTGAGAAAGACCAGGCTACCAGGGCTTTATTTGGCAGGCTTGACAACTGATCCAGTATTAGGAGCTGGAAAACCTCCTTCTGATCTGTTTAACTTAGTAAGTTGAACTCTGTGGTTTTCCTTGTTTGCTTCCAAATTATTTTTATAATGCTATTTGAAACATCTGCAATCATTTTATCATGTATGCTTATGTGTAAAATTTGGAACTGGAAATATAGTTAAGGAAGTGCATTTATTTTTATAGCTGATGTTCTGTCTTTTGAAGATAAACTGCATTTTTTCCAACTATCAATCTTTTGAGATGACATATGAGGGGTTCAAAATCAAGATCACAGAGCATTTCTAAATTGTCTGGAAGTAGCACTCTGAAATCTTTAAATTAGTTTATCATGTGTTTAAATCAAAATTTGTTTCTCATTCTGGGATATTTATTGCCTCTCTCTGTTTAATTATTGCTTATTACCCTCCTGGATTTTTGATTTCCTTTGTTATCTCCTAGGGTGAGGTAGTACAGGAATTCTTGACTAGTGGGGTGTGAGCTGCCCCAGTGGTAAGGCAATGATCACTGGTTCGCACCCTATTGCTAGTGGGAGAAGAAAAGCACCAACATCCTGTAATTAGTAAGACCCAACAAAAACTGAGAAAGCAGGGGAATGGAGCAGGTCATTACCTCCTGCAGCTACACCCTTTGCTCCACCCAGCCCATAGCATCTCCTCAGCACTCCACTTTTCCCTCAGTGCTCAGCTCTGGAGGAAATGGTACTACCCTGAAGCTGAATTCTGTATGGGCAGAAAGGGAAAAAACACTTGTATCAGTCTCTCACCAGCCAGCCCCACCTACATTCCCCCAGTCCATGCAGCATCCTAAAAATGACGACACAGATTCTGGCTGTATTTACCTAAATCCCACAATCCAGTGTAGCCACTTAGAATTGTGGGATTTGAGTGGCGCACTCCAGTAAACCATGGATGGAAAAAGTGTTGAACCCCTGAGTTAACAGATTTTGATTTTAAATAACGTGACAATATACTTATACAGTAGAACCTCAGAGTTACGAACACCAGAGTTACGAACTCACTAGTCAACTACACACCTCATTTAGAACCGGAAGTACACAATCAGGCAGCACCAGAGGACCCCCCCCCCCCCGCCACCGCCAAAAAAGCAAATACTACACAGTACTATGTTAAATGTAAACTACTAAAAAAATGAAGGGAAAGTAGCATTTTTCTTCTGCATAGTGAAGTTTCAAAGCTGTATTAAGACAACGTTCAGTTGTAAACTTTTGAAAGAACAACTATAACGTTTTGTTCAGAGTTACGAACATTTCAGAGTTACAAACAACTTTCATTCCCAAGTTGTTCGTAAGTCTGGGGTTCTACTGTAACAATTTTATTTTGTGTCTTTGCTATTGTTATTCCTTCTATTGTGTTATTTCTAACTTTCTGGGCCAAAGGTTCCAATGCAAAGGGCAGAGGGGAAATCCATGTCTTGGTCCTCAAAGTATCTTAAACCTCTGAACTTGCCACCATTTATTCTGACTAGCTTGGGTTGCATATAGGTCTGCGCTCATATCAAAAGTTAGAATCCATGCACGACAATGTCATTTTTTGTAATTAGCCCTTATTAACAATCTAATCTTGTGTTGTTATTTGTTGGTTGATTATTTTTTTAACTGGTAGATCATTTGAGATGAGCTTTAAAATTAGTCAAAGTTGTTCTTAGATTGGTGCAATTGTGATTCTATCAAGAAATTCAGACAAGAACAAAAGGTTACTAAGATTTGAAATTTATTTGTCAATAAAAAGTGCATAGTACAAGCCCTTTATCCCAGTTCCAAATACTCAGTAGAAGATTAATAGTAAACCTCAAATGGCACAGACATGATTTTTGTTTGGCATGATTCAGACATTTTAAACCACCAATTTACATCAGGTACATCACATTATCATTTTTCATCTTTAGGTAAACGTTACAAGGCAACATTACTGCAGACACTATATGAACACACATGATTTTTCATTTCAGAATATAATAATTGTGTTAAGCAGATGCTAAAATACTATTATTTTAACAAAGTTATAAACGAAGGTATAAACATAAACTCTCTTCTTTATTTCTTTAATTGCTACAACTTCTCTCTTATTAGCTGAGCCTCAAACCTTTAATATAAAATTGATCATGGTCTTAAACTTTACATCCTTCTAATCTCTTCCAAGGGGTTCCTCTTAAAATGTACAGTGTTCAGTTTTGTAATCACGATGCAGTTATTTCATCACAAATTATTATTATGGGCTAGATTCTGCCACCTTTATTAACGATGCTGCAGCTAGAACATTCTCTGACAATAGTCAAACTAATTACAATGGAGCTACTTGTTGAGTAAAATAACATGAATAAAAGTGGCAAAATACAGCCTTATAATAGCTGTATTACTTTAAGCAGTATTATTGGTCTGAAGTTTACATACTGGAGAGAATATCTCAGAATTTAAAAGGCATACATGTTGGCATGGGATAGTGGCCTGGCTACATAACAAAACATTTTGCTATACAATATTTCCACTGCTTTTCTTTCACACAGAAAATTTTAAATAGCAATTTACATAAGGAAATTATATATGTATAAAACTGTTCGGACATTTTGACTAGCAGAATTTTAAGAAAAAAAAACATTGATTCAACACAGAACACAATTAAAAATTTCTCGGATTACAATGTACAAACATCTATGGCTATATATTGGCAAAAATCTCAAAGCAGGGTGCACAAAGCATGCCTTCTATATACATATTAGGGCATCTAAATAGAAGTGGTCTGATCTTCAGAGGTGCTGAGCACCTGCAAGTCCCATTGACTTCAACAGGAGCTGGAGTTGCTCAGTATCTCTGAAATGAAGCCCCTTCCAGTTAGGTGCTTACATATGGAGTTAGGCTTCTAACTTAATGCACCCAAGTTTGAAGACTTTTGGCCATTGACAGAGCTGTCCCTAGGGTATGGCGAATTGGGGCAACCACTCTGGGCCCTGCGCTTTGGGGGGCCCCGTGGGCCAGCACAATTGGCCAGCGCAGTCAGTCCCGAAAGTGACGGTTGGTCCTGGAAGTGAGGGATTCGTCACTTCCGCCCTGGGCCCCACACTCTCCTAGGGATGGCCCTGGCCATTGATTCTTGGGGGAAAAAAACGCAGGTATGGTAGGCCATGTAAGTATTTTTTATTGGTTCCATAAAAAGATATCACATTACCTACGCAGTTCAAAATGTTATTCCAAAGATGTACTAGGAAGGCAAAAACTAGTAGTTGGATAGTGTATCCCAGTAATGTTCTTACACAGTGTTTGTGGCCTATACTGCCATCAGTCATATTGGGACAAATTCTCTCGATTACACTGTTGCAATCCCATTCTCTTCTGTAAGGTTGCATCAGGTTAACAGAGAATTTGGCCCAATATTATTATTTTACTAATGCTTCCTATCTATAGGTGCTGTATTACACAGCACACTGCTACAAAGAAGCTCAGTGGCACAGTTACATACATCAAATTATAAAAGCATTTTCTCGGGTCTGTACTGTGTGTTTACAAGACAATTTGGCTGACCTGCCATTTACCCTGAGGAGGACAAGCCTATCTCTGATAACAAAGGGATCCAATGTAGTATTTTTCCACGGCCCAGTTATGCAAATCATTACTCACATGAATAGCCCCTTTGCTACTTGCAAAAGTAAGGCGTTCTCATGCGAGTAAAAGGTTGCAGGATCAGGCCATTAATTCCCCGCATATTTGTTCTCCCTACTTTTGTGGAAAGTAGCTCCATAGCCATCTGGTCACACAAAACTGTCCTTTACATTATTCCCATTAATTTTTCAAATTGATAAGAAAAATATACAATGTCACTTTTCTGTATGTCTTTAAAATGTTCTTAAATTCTTTAATGTATGTTTAAAAAAGTCACTGTCACTAGTTCCAACGGAAGATGCACATGCATGCACACACACACACCAACATTAAAGGGAAAATATATGCCATAGATCTTCACCTGCAATTTCTGTATTGAACAATCCAACAACGAATAGGTAAGAATCAAAAGGGTAAGGATTATGACAATATGTAGGTAAAAATCAAATTGTAAGTAAGTGAAAATAACTTTCTGAAGTTAATGACTGGTTGATAACGTTTTGATCTTGTTACGTGTTGCAGCAAAAAATTTAAGATATTGATTATTATAAGATTATACTCAGGACAGAAAATTGTAATGGATACGTGTCAGTAGATTTTTCTTTTTGTAAAGTTTGTAAACAATTCTCTTTTAGAATTTAATATTTAGTTGCCCAGGTTTTAGTTGTCTTTAAAATACATTGAATTAGACAGCTCACTTATTGGTGAATGTATTTAATTTGATTTTGGTGATAATAATCTTTTGTGTAAATTCCTTACACATAAGACAAGCTTTTGATTGTGATAATTTTCAGACACATTCTCATGCCCACACACATAGATGTACATTCATTACAGCAGATGATCCATGCTTTTGCAACAGCCCTAAAAACTATGTTGGAGGTCCAAAGAGTTAAAGCTGCTCTGAACAGCAAGGTAAAGGCAGTGGTGAGCTGGAGCCGATTCACACCGGTTCGCTGGAACCGGCTGTTAAATTTAGAAGCCCTTTTAGAATCGGTTGTCCCACGAGGGACAACTGGTTCTATAAGGGCTTCTAAATTTAACAACCGGCCAAAAGTGGCGCCTTAGGCACCGACTCCGTGGGTGCTCCGGGGCTGAAGCACCCACGGGGAAAATTCGGTGGGTGCTCTCCCCGCCTGGCCCCAGCTCACCTCACCTCCGCTCCACCTCTGCCTCCACTCCTGAACGCGCCGCCCCGCTCTGCTTCTCCACCCCCCCGGCTTCCCGCGAATCAGCTGTTGACGCAGGAAGCCTGGGAGGGCTGAGAAGCAAGCAGCGGCTTCGCGCTCAGGCCCAGGGAGGTGGAGGTGAGCTGGGGCGGGGAGAGGTTCCCCTGCTCCCCGGGTTACCTGCTGTGGCACGGGCGGCCCTCCTCACGCCCCCCGCCCAGCTCACCTCCGCTTTGCCTCCGCCTCCCTGGGCCTGAGCGTGAAGCCACCGCTTGCTTCTTAGCCCACCCCCAGCTTCCTGTGCGAACAGCTGATTCGCGGGAAGCCGGGGGTTGGAGAAGCAGAGCGGGGCGGTGCGTTCAGGGGAGGAGGCAGAGCGGAGGTGAGCTGGGGCCAGGTGCGGGGCTGCCAGTGGGTGCTCTGCACCCACCAAATTCTCCTCGTGGGGGCTCCAGCCCCGGAGCACCCATGGAGTCGGTGCCTAAGGCACCACTTTTGATGTGATCAGTTGGGGGAGTGGCCGCTGCCCCTGCTCCCCCCTAGCTATGCTACCCTGCCCCTAGGAGCCAGAGGGACCTGCCGGATGCTTCCTGGGAGCCGCCCCAGGTAAGCACCGCTGGGACTCCCCACCTCGCCCCCTGGCAGGTCCCTCTGGCTCTTAGGGGCAGGGTGGGGTGGGCACCCACTATGGTGGCCCACGAGACCCTCCTGTCCGGTTCTGGGGGCAGTCAGAGGACAGGGGAGGAGGGTGGATGGGGCGGCGGTCTGGGGGGAGTGTCAAGGAACGCGGGGGGTTGGATGGAGCAGGAGTCACAGGGGCTGGGGGCAGGCCACAATCCCCCTCGAGGAGGGAACCAGTTGTTAAGATTTTGGCAGCTCATCACTGGGTAAAGGTAAAGTAATTTCACTTTTTCTACAAAAAACTCACGCTCATGTTTGCAAATAAGTTTCCAAAATATGTAGGGAAAAAAGAGAATTAATCTGAAAAATAACTTTTAATGACTATAAATGCACAAGGATTTAAATTTTCCTTGAATTATGCCAGAGACCACTGCAAAGAAATTATATATTGTAATCATTGTAACAAAAAGAGAATGACTAGAATGTCCACAGTAAAACAACAACCAAAACTCCACCCCCTGCAGCTCCTTATTGTTTATTCAAATATCACCTACTAGGAATGGTAATAATATATAAAGCAAGAATTAACTTAAAAGTGAAATAGCTCCTAGTTGTTCCATACCAAAATAATATCATCCTGCTTTATGTAAATGCAAAAGGAAAATAGTATTGAATGGGATTTAGTACTCTGGTCACTTTCGTGCATTTGGTCGTGCAAGGTTTTAGCAGTCGAGCATTTCCAGCATTAGAAGGTCTAATCCACGGGTGGGGCTGGTGGTTCTTGTCCCTGGTTGTACAAAAGGGAAAAAAATGCACTGGTTTAGAAATTCTAGTCTACCAAGCATGACTTATAAAAAGAATGAAATCCTCCTCTAATATTCAAACTAAATAACAAACAATTCTGTTTTTCCCTTCAGTGGGGAAATGGGGCAGTGGGGAAGGACATAAGATGGGGGAGAGGAGGCAATGGGGGAAGTGGGGGCCAGGGGGGAAGAGGCAGGGTGGAAGGAAGAGGGTGAGATGTGGAGGAGATAGAGCATTGGGAAAGAGGCTTGGGATGGGAAAGGGAAAGGACGGGGGAAGCGAGGGCAGGGGTGAAGCTGGAGTCCAGTATGCGGCATCCCCTTAGCAGAAGCTGAGGCTCCCCTGGTAAGCAGACCCATCAAGCCCTCACCCTGACAAGTCCCACCTTCCCTGCATCTGTATCACCCCAATGAGCCCCCCCAGACACCCTTCCCACTGAGCCCCAACCATCTACACCTGGACCCCCACCCAAATGAACCCCACCTCCCCTGCACCTAGACCCCCCCCGCTGAGCCCCAAACACCTTCACCTGGATCCCCTGCAGAGTCCCATTGCCCCTACACCTGGAACCCCTCAATGAACCTCTGTGCATCCAGATCTCCCACGGAGCCACCCGCACCCAGATTGCCCCACAGAGAACTCTCTTACCCCCACCTGGATCCCCCTACACTAAGTCCTCTGCGCTTGGATCCTGCTGCCAGGCTGATCCTGATCACCCACACCAGGTACGCCTAGCCCAGGGGGGCAGGACCTCAGGGTGTTTCTGGGGCAGGCCTGGCCCTTGCATTGTATCAGAGTCGGGTGCAACCTCATTGCCGAGTCCCTGTCCCAGGATGGGGTGGGGGAGGCTGCAGGGTAATCTCCCACCTCCATGCAACCAGTGGCCTGTCTCTGGGAGGGGTGGGGGCTGGGCATAGAGATCTGTGATGGAGGTCTCTGGGCCAGGGGACGCTGGGCATAAGGATGGGGCATTGGGCAGGGGGGGCGGTGTGGTGCGGGCCCGCCCTCAAGGGGAAGGGGCATGCTGGCAGTACAGGGCTGGGTAGGCCAGTGTGCATCTGGCAGCTGCAGGTTCGTGAACAGTGCCCTCCTGCTGGGCTGCACAGAGCGGGGCTGCTCCCACCACGCTGTGCCTCATTGCCCCCAGCCCGCCCTTCACTGTGGAGACTGACCATCACGCCACCCTGCACCTTGCCCCATGGGGGCCCACAAATATGTTTGGCACTGGGCCCACAAAAAGTTAATCTGGCCCTGGCCCCAGAAAGTTGTTTGAGTAACCACACAGAGTTTGGCCTGTGGCAAAGCTAGACTTTGCTTGATCTCTGGTCTCTGACTCCAGCCTGATCCTGACTCTTGCTTATGGAGCCTGGCCCTTGTGAGCCCTCCAACTCCTGCCTGGTGACTACTGGCCCTAATGGGCAGAATTCACCCCACTTATGACTGTTAGGTCAGACTGTTTATGCCCTGGTCCCTTACATCATGTTTATCATCTCAACTATTTCCACATCATATGTGCTCAGTGTAAAGTAAAAAAGATATGGGGGTGGGGGGGAAGAGTTAATCACTATCCTAAAAACACATCTCAGTTCTTGCCATCTTGATAAAGATTCTGCAGATCAAATTGAGGCCGTTGGTTACTGCTGTTCATCTTGTGGCTTTGAGTGGGTATTACCTAATCAGAACATAACACTTCTGTTTATGGTTCACCACAAGGAATCGAATGCGGCTCAACCTAAGGCAGAGTGGTTTAGCTGTGTTGGCCCTGCAGGTCTCACAGAAGTATAATCAGTGACAACTTAGACTATGTCTACATTGCACACTTCACAATGGTGTGGGTGTGCCGCTGCCGCGTCTTTGTACGGTGCACTGTGTAGCTGCTCTTTATCTCTCCCAGCGAAAAAATAAAATCTTTCCGAATGAGGGGTGGTAGCTCTTTCGCCGGGAGCAGGGTTCCCACTGATAAAGTGCTGTCCACACCGGCGCTTTTCATCGCTAAAACTTTTATCGTTCAGGAGAGTCCTTTTGCACACCCCCGAGCGACAAAACTTTTAACGACAAAAGTGCCAGTGTAGACATAGCCTTAATTTTGTCAATAAAATTGGCAGTTATGGCTCTAAATAGGCAGAGGGAGCAGATCTATTCACTGAGATCTTGTTTTTAGTTACTTTTCAGAATATAACCACACTTTAAACAAAAGACTTAATTATTTCTAGTCTGAGAGACTTCTGCAGAAGGGAACATATACATTTTAATATTAATGTGATACCAAAAAATAGCAGTAGAAAGCATAGGAAAACAGTTTTGGGGAAAAACTAATGAATATAATGTAGTGTACTTTAAAAATGTTCCTAAATCTAGATATTTTATTTAGATTCTTTAGGTAGGGTGCTTCAAGACACTGACATACTTACATGATGTGGACTGGCCGGTTTTCCAGCCATGTTGGATCCTCTTAGATTAGTTGGTCTCAGCAAGAACAAGACAAGAGCGATAACCACCCAGGCCATCATTATCATGGCAATACTGATGCCGTTATCACCAGAGGAATTTGGTCCTGGCACTACAGACAGAGAAAACTACATCATAAAAGGGTGTGGGAGCAGAGTCCTTTTATCAACATGAAAATGTAAACAACACAAGTATCAGACCAAACTACAACAGTTTTGGTTCACAGCCGTGATTACTCTGTCTGCTTGGCTTTAAGATTCACAACTTTTTGTAAGGTTGACAAAAAAGTGCCAATTTCCTAAAGCTGATATGAAATTCCCTCTTAATGGATTGCAGATAAAGAGAGCACACTATGTTACTGTGGGCAGAGTATACAAAGACCAGTGTTCAGAATGATTTACAACTCATATCAGTGCAAAAAAACCAACACAATATTATACATATATCAATATAAGTGAAACATTCCACATGTGTAGAGGGAATGGTGTATGATTTTCATACCCCATTTTTATAGGCTTGATGCTGCAAACCCTAATGCACAGTGCAGGGTTGTTAGCCTCCACTTGCTGTTAAGCAATCTTGTACAGGTAGGAACAAGGAAGGCATCTAGTTCTTTGTGTAACCCACGCTAGATGAGCATGAGTCTTTGTTCCCCTCCAGTGGCTGATCTACATAGGTGGAGGAGTCTACTACAAATGCTGCTTAATAGCTAGTGGGAAAAGTTTGTTTTTAACACTGAAGGTCCAGGTTCAAACCCTGCTATCAGCCCAAGCACAGGGGATCATTATACCTACTTGTGAAAAGAAGTTGGCAAACCACTCAGAATAAATTGTTTACTGTTAATTTAGCTCTCCAATAGTTTCCAAGGAGACTGGTGTTTCTAAATTTGATGGAAATTAAAAATTATGTATTGCAAAAATTGTGCGAACAGATGTCTGCCTTGGCATTAGTCATGAGCTTGGTGTGGCAAAGATTTCTCATTTAAGTATTTGACTCAATATGTGAGCTGTGTGACGGTCACTGAGATCACGTTCCCTAACAGAATGGCATAACTACTATCAACTACTTCCCTTTCTTCCTAAAACCAAATATTGGTGGGTCAGGGTGCAGGAGGTCCTTAATTTCTGGGAAGAAGAGTGATGTAGGGGGCAGAGGCAGGGACTGATAAAAAAGGGAAGCTGATATACTGACATTTGCAACAAAATAGCAAATGGCTGGAATTTTTTTCAGCACATTCCACAAAATTGAGAAATTCCCCTGAATGGAGTTGTCTGGTTGTACTACCGGGGAGAAATAAGTATTTAAAGCCTCCCAAATATCTGATTATTTGCATATTTAAAATATGCAGCCTTTTTCCAGAGATCAATGTTGCCAGGTTTAGCACATTAGCTGCGCATTTCTGCTACAAGTAGTAGTGAAATGCTAGTATTTAAAATTACCCTAATTAAGCATTTGATCTAACATCCCATCATGCTGAACTTCTTCTCTTTCAGGCTCATAATATATCTTTTGAATCCAACAGCAAAATTGTCATTGACTTTACACAGTGTAATTTGTGTATTACCCATCAGAAGGTAACTAATGCAATGTTATTGGGAGGTAATGTTCAGAACAAGAAAAGCTAGTTGATTTTATTTAAGAAAGTTTAGATTTTGTACAAAACCTCAAAGTCTGGGGGAAATCCACAGGGAGACCCAGGGCCTTGGAATTTGCAGGGTTTTAGCATCCACTGATTTCTATTATTTTTGACAATTACATATAGAGTCTTTCACCTCTAACACGCTGGTTTAAATCTGGCCTATGCCAATGTTTGCTAGAAGTTATCACTAGTAAAAGCTGTTTGATGATCTATTTGCAGTGAGTGGGGTGGGGTCAGTCAGTTTCTTGAGCACAAGTTTTCACAATGGAAAACTATTATCACTGTTGTTCCCCTTAATGGCATTTTCAAGAGAGCCCAAGGGCTGAGTGGGCCCAGAGAACTATTCCCTCATCCATGAAGGTGATGTCTACATAACAGAGTTAAGGCAAGCTAATGGGGTACTGTGGGGAAGTTTGCAGGACTGCTGCCCACAACACAGCTCTTCTGTAATACAAGACTTCATGATCCAGAGCCATCAATCTGATATCCTTCAGGTACATTAAATTCACTCAAAAATATAACAGAAAAATTGGGATGAATTATGAAAAATCAGACCTCAGCAGCACTTCCTCAGACTCAATGAGACAACTCTTTTGATTTTATGAGCTAAAGGAATTGCCATTAAACTCTTGCTTTTCAAATCTTTGAAATGGAGACATCTCAATCTGGAAAAGCTGCTAACATAGAACGAGTTCAACTATAAATGCCAATTACAAAAAAACATTCTAATGAGAGTTTGAAAGTCTGAGCCATTCTGGGTGTGGGTCAGAAGAAGATCTAGCAGGAGCAAAATGAGAACATATCGTAACACGAAATGGAACTTTCAGTTCACTAGTTATGACATAAAATACTGATTCAGAACAGCATGTAGAATTGTGCAGGCAAGTGTTCAGTTTGTAGTCTCGTTCTGTACAAGTGAAACAACATTAATCAGCTTGGTGTATCAATATTTGAAACTTTGGGAGGCCTTTATGCATCACATCTCTGTCACATAATACTTAACCCTGCCTCAGAACAGACATGTAGACTAGTTGACCTCCTGAGGTCCCTCTAGGGCTTCTGATTTTAGGTTTTAACCAATGAACACTGACAAAACATTCCTGATACTATTTAAAAAAAAAAAAAGGTGTATATCCTATTAACACCAGAAAAGAACTGGAAATGGTTACTTGTATCTAAGGGTTTGTCTGCACAAAGAAGTAGAGTGGACTACAGGAGTGTGATTTTTGAAGTGTACTAATGCATTGCACATTGATTGATCCATGCAGACCCTGTTGGCATGCACTAAAGGTTCCCGAGCGTGCTTTAATACAGTGGTTCTCGACCAAGGATATGCATACCCCTGGGAGTATGCAGACGTCTTCCATGGGGTACGTCAACTCATCTAGGTATTTGCCTAGTTTTACAACAGGCTACATAAAAAGCACTAGCAAAGTCAGTACAAACTAAAATTTCATACAGACAATGACTTGTTTATACTGCTCTATATACTATACACTGAAATGTAAATTCAATATTTATATTCCAATTGATTTATTTTATAATTATATGGTAAAAATGAGAAAGTAAGCAATTTTTCAGTAATAGTGTGCTGTGACACTTTTGTATTTTTATGTCTGATTTTATAAGCAACTAGTTTGTAAGTGAGGTGAAACTTGGGGTACACAAGACAAATCAGACTTATGAAAGGGGTACAGTAGTCTGGAAAGGTTGAGAGCTACTGCTTTAATGTCATGCTTTTGAAACAGTACTGTGTTAAAGCGCAGTAGGGAATATTACAGAGAGATTATATTACTCATTACAAGGAGTGTATACTGTAATGTACATACATTAACAAGTCATCAAAACACATAAGGACAAGCTTAACTTTGAGCACATGCTTAAGTCCATCCCTGTTCATAAAAGTTCAGCAATTACTTAAATGCTTTGCTAACTTGGGTCCTAAAGTCACATATCACTTGAGGGGGGTTTGGCTACCCTATGCTATGTTCAGCAGAAACTCAACTGACTAGCCAGTTTCACATACTTCAATTGTCAAAAACCCACTTGTGTTAGCAATGCCATGTTGATGTGCTTTGACTGTATTCACATTCTTTTTATTCCCATAGAGTAAATTTCACTCAGTTATAGAGGGGAAGCATAAGAAGACCCAATTACATCCCATGATACAGTTAAAACATGCCTCAGCCCTGGTCTACACTAGGACTTTAGGTTGAATTTAGCAGCGTTAAATCGATGTAAACCTGCACCCGTCCACACAATGAAGCCCTTTATTTCGACTTAAAGGGCTCTTAAAATCGATTTCCTTACTCCACCCCTGACAAGTGGATTAGCACTTAAATTGGCCTTGCCGGGTCGAATTTGGGGTACTCTGGACACAATTCAACAGTATTGGCCTCCGGGAGCTATCCCAGAGTGCTCCATTGTGACCACTCTGGACAGCACTCTCAACTCAGATGCACTGGCCAGGTAGACAGGAAAAGAACCGCGAACTTTTGAGTCTCATTTCCTGTTTGGCCAGCGTGGCAAGCTGCAGGTGACCATGCAGAGCTCATCAGCAGAGGTGACCATGATGGAGTCCCAGAATCGCAGAAGAGCTCCAGCATGGACTGAACGGGAGGTATGGGATCTGATCGCTGTATGGGGAGAGGAATCCGTGCTATCAGAACTCCGTTCCAGTTTTCGAAATGCCAAAACCTTTGTCAAAATCTCCCAGGGCGTGAATGACGGAGGCCATAACAGGGACCCGAAGTAGTGCCGTGTGAAACTTAAGGAGCTGAGGCAAGCCTACCAGAAAACCAGAGAGGCGAACGGCCGCTCCGGGTCAGAGCCCCAAACATACTGCTTCTATGATGAGCTGCATGCCATTTTAGGGGGTTCAGCCACCACGACCTCACCCGTGTTGTTTGACTCCTTCAATGGAGATGGAGGCAACACGGAAGCAGGTTTTGGGGACGAAGAAGATGATGATGATGATGATGAGGTTGAAGATATCTCACAGCAAGCAAGCGGAGAAACCGGTTTTCCCAACAGCCAGGAACAGTTTCTCACCCTGGACCTGGAGCCAGTACCCCCCGAATCCACCCAAGGCTGCCTCCTGGACCCGGCAGGCGGAGAAGGGACCTCCGGTGAGTGTACCTTTTAAAATACTATACATGGTTTAAAAGAAGCATGTGAAAGGATTAATTTGCCCTGGCATTCGCGGCTCTCCTGGATGTACTCCCAAAGCCTTTGCAAAAGGTTTCTGGGGAGGGCAGCCTTATTGCATCCTTCATGGTAGGACACTTTACCACTCCAGGCCAGTAACACGTACTCGGGAATCATTGTACAACAAAGCATTGCAGTGTATGTTTGCTGGCATTCAAACAACATCCGTTCTTTATCTCTCTGTGTTATCCTCAGGAGAGTGAGATATTATTCATGGTCACCTGGTTGAAATAGGGTGCTTCTCTTCAGGGGACACTCAGAGGAGC